AACCGCTTTAACTCATTCTATAAATCATAAGTTTTCTCTGATTTTTATCAACTAAGAATAAACATTTTTTTTTCCAACTAAAAACAATATCTTTTATACTTCAGCGTTCGGCAACAATTGCAATGTTTTAATGCGATAAAAATCGTGTGATTAAAAACTTAATGTGCATGCATCGTCTTTCTTAGGACAATTTTGGAGAATTTATTTTATTGACTTATTTATTCATTCATTTATTTGTTTACTTATTATTTGTTTTTTTCTTTTTCTTTTTTTTTTTTTGGCACCTGACATTATAATACAATAAAATAGTTTCAATGCAAGGAAAAGATCAGAGGCATTCCGAATATATCGTTCATCTTGCGTTCACCGTTCGTTCCCCGTTCACTTTGCGTTCGCGTTTGCGCTCCGTTCGCGTTCTGCGTTCGCTCACCGTTCACCGTTCACACATCGTTCACCAAGTTGCGTTCAGCGTTCACACATCGTTCACTCACCGTTCGTTCAGCGTTCGTTCACCGTTCGTTCAGCGTTCGCTCACCGTTCAAGTGGGAAAGTGGAACGTTTCAGGGACTGTAACCAATGGGTCTGAGGCCGGTCTATTTGATATGTGACATTAGAGACTATAAACGGGTCAATGGGAATTGAAGTACGTGTGTAGGATGTGTAATTAAGGAATACTAAGGCTGCTCTACAGGAACAATTATGCAGTTTTAAGATGTGCTTAAGCCCTAAGCTTACCTTATTACTCCTGCATAATTCAATTTTCTGCATACCTAATGCTCAAACCCCCATATATGATTTCACTCCACCATGGTATTTTTATTTGGGGTATTTATATTAACCCACATAAAAGCGCCATTGAACTTGTCTCTAGGCTGTCATAGTTTAGGCAAACTGTATGAAAATTGAGAAAATGGAAATGAGTCACACATATATGACAGAAATCCCCCTTCAATTACTTAAACGTACTCCATCAAGTCGTTTGCATAGATGAGATCTCCTAATATTTTATTGAGTCACAAAGGAACACAATGCTTTGTATATCTAGAATGGATTCTGAACATCATTACACCGATGTTCTACGGTAATTAAGTACACATAGATATGAATCTATACACGAAGTATGGTGAAGCAGTCGCTACAGATAGTCATAATTCTTCCTTTAATTCATTTCACTAGAGGAATATAATGCAAAAATTCTGTTGATATGTTGTTCATTTAGATAATCTTTCATGCAAACATTATATAAAATGTTTTTTGTTGATCAAAGCTAATTCAATGTATTTCAGTGCACTGAAATAAACATAATTAAGCAATTTTCTGAAAGATAAAAGTTTTCCAAATTTTTGTGCTTCTTTCAAATCAAATGTTTCAGACAATTCGAAAGGTTTTAAAAATATTCACAAAATTATTTTGTACTGTATTTTATATAAACTGCATTAGAATTAACAAATTTGATCTATGAAAGGTATAAACAGATAATACCATTATAGCCTTAGTGTTAGAAAAAGGCTAGGTATGACTTAATTATTACAGGTAACAACTCTATTTCGAATATTTACCCCAGGGAAGACAATGTGTAAAGGTTAATAGCTTTTGTAGCAACAATACAAGCATTGACAAGCTAGCATAACATGAAAAAATCACACCCAAAGTAATCATAAATTCAAGTTTTTTCGAGTTTCTTTATTTCCTTAAGCCAACTGGCTCATCAGAATAATAATACAATCATGTTATTAACGAAAAAGAAAACAAAATCATACAGAGAAAGTGAACCTAAAAAATACATAGATGAAAATAGTCTTACACATCGATGTAAATGAATATATTTTTGAGCTCATTTCATACAGTTACAAACCAAAGGTTATTTATTTTATCACGTGTTTAGCGAAGTGACAGTCTCTCTCTCTCTCTCTCTCTCTCTCTCTCTCTCTCTCTCTCTCTCAACAATCTAACAATCTATAACAGAGATGCTGATATCCTTTATCTAAGTTAAATGCTGGGCATGTCTTGATGCTCTTTTAGATTCAATCATTCTTTTCATCTACTAAGCAAAGATAGATCGTAGCAAAGCAGACAAGAAATTTTGGTAGTCACTGTAAAATGTGAGTTGAAAATATAATTTAAATTACTTTTGTTTTAGAATGTCTTGTAATTTTCTTCATTTATTTTTGTACGATCAAAAAGAATCTGATGAGTAGGGGGAGGGGGGGGGGGGGGTTAAAGAAAAATACAAGTAGGCTTAATTCTATAAGAATATCATCCACTAAGTATTTTCTTTTATTTATTTTTACTGGTGTTATCAAGTAATAAAAACTTAACTGGAGAGTTATAGTTAGATTCGGTTTCTATGTATATGAATAAAAGAATATTCTTCAATAATCAACTGTTTCGTGGTTATTCAATATCTAAGCATCCATCAAAAATATTTTTGGTTCTCCTATCGCTCTTATATGGTAATTTATACCGAAATTAATTAAAAATAATTTGCTTTGTTTATACGGGATTGGTTGGTTTGAATTCTTGCAGTAAAGACTACATAACATTGTATCTCTCTTCTGCAATGTTGTAAACGTTCAACAACAAAAAAGTTGGATAAAGGAATCATCGATAGAAGTTTCAAATTTTATGTCGATTTATATATTGCTTTATGAATAGGAGAGGGAAGGAAATTCTTCAGTAAGCATTATAACTTCAAGATTTTAGGACATAGATTCTAATCACCCCAAGGCAAATCCCAAAATGGAGATTAGACTATAATTGCTATCAAAACATATTTCACATCTATTGTTCCATACCTAGTTATCAAATATGTGCAAAACGGGAACACACCGTGACAAAGAACTAACTGCAAGAATTACATGATATAAAAATGCTTCACTTGTGTAGTTCCTTATTTAACCTACAAATGCTTATTCTCCATATTTAATAGCGTGTAAACTTGGTCAGTATCATCTTAGGCATTTGAAGTAATACCCAATGAGGGAAGCAAGCTACTTGTAATAAAATCTTTTTATTACTCTCGTAAAAACATATGCATATCCGAAGTATGATTACTAACTCTATCGAGACATGTTAACATGTTAAGTTCGAAGGGGTTATGCATCTTATTTGCATCTGAGCTAGGAAATACACTGGAATATTAATTTCATCGATTGATATTGGAATGCATATGTAACGTTTTGCTATATACGATTATCTACTATACTTTATTCCTGGTGAAAAGATCATCAGGTGTATTTTACCTTAAGCAAATTTTAAATGTTCCTTGTCTTCAAAGTCAACATATATCATATCGCTGAAGTCCTTGACACTCAGACATAATTTCACGTCTGGAAAGTATACGAATCATCTTTGATCATGTCTGCTAGAGGAAAAAAAATCTAAAATCAATAGCATGAAATCATATTAAGGTTATATCGTTCGTAGAAAAAAATAGGATTTTTAAGCAATTAACGAAATTAGAACAAATGACTAACACATCCCCCGTCTACTCGCTCGTTTAAAAACATATCAGAAACGCTTTGTGTAAGTTAATGAGGAAATGTTTTATAAAGAGAGGCTACTAATTAGACAAAATAATTTGATATAAAGATGATTTTCATTTCAGCGCACTACAAATATAAAATGATATCTATCTGTTCAATTTAACAATAGGGCTCAATACGGTGAAGACCGGTTGACAGGAATTTTTTTTCATCCTGATTATGCAGAATATCGTACCTCTTTGTGGTTCAGGAATTGTGCGATCTACTTGTTTATAGGATGCAGGAATTAAGTAACTCCTCGCTACTTTTGCATCGACATGTTTTAAAAACTAAGCCATCTAAAATTTGCTTTTCAATCATGGAAATAGAGTGTTCTATCTCTGTTTTACTTGCAAACTTGATAAAAATCAAATTCAAATTTTAATGCAAATTTAAAACTGAAAGATTCTTATACAAGTCGTACAATGAGGCTATAATATGAGACTTATTTCAAAACGTATCTTGCAAGAATACGCAAATTCACTGATAACAATGGGCAAGTAAGAGTTGATGCAATGTCGTAGAAGTTGTATATAGTATAAAAGAGATTACCAATGTTTAAAACAGAATATTTTAGACAAATATTTTGTCTGATAGAAATAATATCGATATGAAAAAAAGACAATGAACAGTAATTAAGGTCAAAAGTCAATAGGAATTATACAAATTTAGAGCAAAACAAATACGGACCTCTACAAGCGTCAGTGGTGGAATCAAGTGTCATGGAGGAGTAAGCATTCCCTGTCTACCGGTCACCCTCGCCGTGTGCTTCTTGTCATGATTAAGATAAAACACTATTATTCTTTGATATATATATATATATATATATATATATATATATATATATATATATATATATATATATATATATATATATATATATATATATATATATATATATGACATAGTCAGTACGTATCTCTAATAAGCAATATTTTTGAAATGTTTTTAAATAACATGCAGAGTCGAATATTAATGAATATTATATTAGCCTGCACTTAGGTACATGTGTCCCAGCACTGATAGGCTACATAAAAAAATGGGACCTAATTAATGGTCATTTAATTAGAACTGTTCACTCTGACATCACATAAAAAATGCTTCCAATGCGTAAACGTACCACTGTCATTACGTTTATTGCTAGTTAAATGCCAACAACCATGTAGTTGTTGATGTCACATTACTTGAACTTTAAACTAATAAAACGTGAGATCTATTCAAAGCAGCACAATTCAGAAACTACAAGATATCTAGGAACTATTTATTAATTAATGTTTTTATTTAAATCAAGGTGTGTCCTTCCGACAATGAATTTGTATATGACCCTACAGTAACTTCATGTGATTATATATAAATTTTTATAAAGAAATGAATTCAATTTAAAATCAAAGCTGTGAAACCCTATATTCCGCTTATTTCTTAACAGTATAACTTAACAGTGTCATGAAATGTATGTGGATTAGTTTATTAACATGTTACAAGAGCTGATTTTAACCACATGGTATTTTTATATGACTTCATTTTTGCAGGTTATGACGTTTGAGCTGTTTTATTTTTGAGCATAGCCTGGAAACATGATGACTTTGAACCAGACATTGTCTCAGAATGACGATACAGAGCCTCACTCTGACGATGCACAGGGCGCATGTGCAGACTGGAGAGAGGCTCAGCATTCATTATTTCAGTTAGCCAACATGTGCCTCATCTTATCATTTTTGACTCCAAACAAATTTCGTTATTACCCTTTGTGTCTGCGAATATTCCTAGGAACGGGTTATCTTTTCTTTTCCCTGTGGTCAGGGCTTATAGTATGTATGCCAGACGTCCTTATATGGTCTGCTGGGTTTTTTTTCGTGAACCTTCTTCATCTTTGTTATATAGGATACAGTATGCTTCCATCGAGAATAAATAAAGATTTGGATGATCTTTACAAGAAATTGTTTGAACCTTTAAGAGTTAGTAAGCCTGAGTATGATTGTCTGGTGAAGGTTGGATATGTACATGGATTGGAAAGATTTGATGAATACGCAAAGGAGGGATTAACGCCATGTGGACTAAAAACATCCATTTTATTAAAAGGCAGGTATGCTATATGAGATACAGATTGTGTGTTACAGCAACATATATCTCCAAAACTCAATCTTGAAAATAGATATATAGTGCTTTTTTCATTAGTAAATACTGTACTAGTACATAAATTGGCGTATTCAAAATTTAGCGCAATCACTGGGTATGGAGTTGTTGGCGAAATCATGAATTAGCGCTATACATGTCCGTTCTGTATTTTGTATTTATAAATGATTTCTTAGCTGTATTCATGAATTTGCGCATCGTTGTCTGTGTCAAAGTCGCTAAAATATGAAGCCCGTTTTTTTAACAACACAAACAGTAATATATAATTATGCACTTTCAGTTTTTAAATGGTTTGATATATTGACCAAAAAAATATAAATATCAACTGAGGAAAAATAAAATCACCAAACTAGTTACATAATCTAGTATGTCACATTATGACTCCTGGGTCGAGGCCTCTGCTGGTGGACTGTTAGTCCCCGAGGGTCTCTACAGCCCAGTAACCTAGTACTTCGGTACTAGCTTGAAAATACGGATATATATTTAATCTCTGTGGTAATATTGGAAATTTATTTCAAAATTAAGGATTATCTCCCTCATGCATAGCTCTGATCCTTCGACATATTTGGCTCTAGGCTTTGGCAATTTTTTCAGCTCTTCCAACTCTTTTTATTTAAATTTTGGATTCCCAACCTTTCGGCTTGAGCATCACTGAAGAGACATAATTTGTCGAAATGCGCATCTGGTGCATCAAAATTGGTACCGTATATGATTTACATGTAACTATTTTTCAGGTTACATTAAAGTTTTTTTTCCTGACAATTGTTCTCAGATTAATATTTTTTTTATTTTTGCAAATGTACTTTTTCACCAATTTTCATGGGACAAGGTCTATATCTCTTTGAGAAATAATTGATCAAGGCAGAAATAATGGATGGAGAATCCGAAATCAACATGTAAAGAGTCAAAAACAGATCAATCTTAATATCCCTAAAGCAACATATCATATGATTGCATCAAAATTAATTTGAATTTTATTTGCGAACAGACGGACACCTACACTGACACACAGATAAATAAGGACGAATTATTGTTTCGATTCTAATGTAAACAATGTCAAAGTTTTTCATCCATAGGTTGAAAGTGCAGTTTGAGGAACTCCTGGTCCATTACATTGAAGGAAACCAGTTCGTCGACTCTCCAGAGTACGACTTCACTAATCGTACGCTGACGTCTGAGAGATCAGAGTGTAACTCACCCGAACGCATCTTACTTTCTGACAAACGGGACACATACCAAGTAAATGAATTGTATATATGAGACACTTACCAGGTTTGTGAATTGAATATGTGAAACACATGACGGGTAGGTAACTTGTAGATTGCCTGCATAAAAAAAAAGATAAATAAAACAATGCAACTTTGTGAACAGGAAATCAAACATAGATCACTGAAAACTCCAGAGGTGAATCAGGTGCTTTCGAAAAGTAAGTATCCAATGTTGACCGATCACATCCGTGAGCCGTATGTATGGAGCAGGAAAATAAAGTAATCTGTAGTTAAATTTAGGGTAAAAACAATTGCCTTACAATTGAGAAAAATCATTGCATATTTCACTTGTAGGAATTACTATATATGGTTGAACTAAAAACAAGATCAAGTATTTGTTCTAGGACGCTTCCTTCTATAATCTTAATCTGATACGGTACCCATTTTGATGCACCAGATGTATATTTCAACAAATTATGTCTCATCAGTGATGCTCATACCGAAACGTTGGAAATACGCAAGGCGGATATCAATGCACTGTACTTTATTATCTAAGGTTTTTCTTCAATCTATTTTCATTATAGATAGGCAAACGGCGTCTAAATACATAGAATTCGTGTCTGCTTTGTTATTTATTACATATGAGCACGCATTTTAATTTCTTACAGTATTGTAAAAACTGAACAGTGAAGCTGGTCTTGGCTTACACCTTTACATTATTTAGGTCGTTATTGTTTTTTAGCATTTGAAAATTGATGGCAAAAAATTATGATAATAAAGAACTACGAAAAAAAAAATTCTTCTGAAAAGGAACAAAAAATAATCTTTATCTCTCTACAATGATAATTTTCATATTTCATAATAAAAGTTTAAATTTTTGGACCACTTGCATGAAATGTATGGAGATAACGAACAGTATTCAAGCTCAAAAGTCCATTAAACAATACAAATTTTGGAGCAGAGCAAATACGGACATCTAAAACATCAAAGGTGGGATCAGGTGCCATGGAGGAGTAAGCATCCCCTGCTAATCGGTCACAATCGAAAGGCATGATTTGTTTCACGACATCTTTAATCATAATAGCAAAAAAATATGCCAGATACTAAAATGTTCACCTTAATAGCAAAATAATATCGAACGTATACCTTTATTTTCAGGTGACTATCTCTGCAGTAGAGGAAAGCCTTCTTTTAACATGGTCACTCGACAAACTCAGTCAATTTTTACAGTCAAATCCAGCCTTATCTGCAATCTTTCAATTATTGATTGGTAAAGACATAAGCGATAAGCTTTATCAGATACAGGAAATGCTTCTCTCTGACCCAGAGTGTCCTTTAGCACGGTCGAACCAAAACTATCAACTTAGAACACAGACCGACAGCCATAGTTCACAGTCCTCTCTATTGAATCTCTGAAGTGTTATTGTATCAGGTGCTTCTATTTCAAGCCTTGATCATTTAAAATGCCTTGGAGTGGATTTCAAAGGTAGAGCATTCAATGTTTGATCCCCCCTCCCCCCCCCCCCCGAAATCAGCATTTCTTAACGATGTTAAAAATGTATTTCTGGTAAGATTTCTTAATTCTAATTGAATGAAGAATTCTTTTTATTAGTCAATGACATATTGATAAAAAATGTTTATATAATGATATAGATCAGGGATGTATGAAACTTGATTTTAATTTCTTTTTCTTTCAGAGCCGTCGGCCTTCCACCCACATGTGAAGGACAGTATGTTTGAGAGTCAAGTGTAAGACGGACTAAGAAAGATGTTTAGTTGTAAATAGCACTTCTAGAAATAAATACTATACAAAGACACATTTCAACATAAGCCTTTTTTTAAATTTTGACGTTTTTATCTTTTGTGATTTTGCATCTATGTGTTAGCATTAATAATGACAGGGACAAAACCTTGTCTAGAAACTGTGAGTGTTCATCAGTGACTGAGAAAAAAAAACCCAGATAGCACTCTTTCATTTCATTTTGGCAAAAAACAAAAACAGAGAATATCAGGATTATTAAACTAAATTGATTAAAACATCACACATTAATTAATCAAATTGATATAAATCAAAGTATTTTGGCTTATATATATGGCATGGCATTCGGATGATATTAGTTACCTGATGATAGTTCTTAAAAGCCTCAAACACTTATTTCTGTAGTTCTGTACATGATAGCATTAAAGCTCAATGTCAAAAAAAAAAAGTTTTATTATGTGTTAAGACAGATAAGTTATGCATAATATATTAAAAAGGACACCTTATTGCTTATGTAATAAACTCCTATTAAATGGTTGTGTGGCTAAGTAATCTATTCCTCCGTCTTCATTAATTCAGAAATAACAAGAAATTTAAATATCTAATATGATCAGTACATGTATGGATATGTTCCAGTTGACAAAGCATGAAACAATACATTTTTTTATTTGTTATGTCATTATTACAAAATATTTCAAAGGAACTTGCATTTAAATCTTCATTTGGTCACTTATGGTAAACGTATTGTTTGCTTTCAAACTTTTTTGTCAGTTCTTAGATAATTCCGATATTCCCAACAATCAAATTAAATTTGAATTATTTTACCAGGTCCTATGCTGGATTCCTAAACTTCATGAATGAAAACCCTTAAAAATAAAGATAGCGGGATCACATAAATGTTAGTTAATGTTAATTAAAGCGTCTCTAATTCCCAGGAAAAGAAGCATTGAGAATCTTCAGATTTACTGTTTAACAACATATTTTAGTTGTATTCAATTAATGTTCAATCTAAATTTTACGAAATAATTTGATGTTTTGATACTTTACTTTGACATTTTGATTTACCATATTATTTAAAAGTTATTACGAATCTTTGATTACCGATGACCCTCAACTCTAAAATATTTTTACTTACGATTAAGATCCATCACTTGACTTCATTTTTTCTATTGTCAATTTCCCTTACTTGTGTTGCAATATACCCTTATCACCTGCTTATGTGGTTTATGTCTCCCAGTTGATTCGATATATTGATTTGATACGGAAGAGCATGCTCTACGTACGAATAATTTCTAAACGAGGCATGCTAATGACAAACAAGTTGATGAAACAAAGATCTCAACACTCGCTTAAAGTTATCATTTCGAATGTTCCATGGTTGATACAATGACCTTGTCAGCAAGTTTCATCTATCATGAAGTCGAATGCTGACTTACGTTTTTGTACCAATTGTACCGTTGGCACATCATTTACACACCGAATTGTCTAAGAATTTTTTAGCTTACCAGATCATGACAAGGAGCACACTGCGGTTGTGACCGGTTGACAGGAGATGCTTACTCCTCCATATCAATAATCTCACCTCTGTGTTTTTAGAAGTCCGTGTTTGCACTGTTCTCGATTTGTATTGTATTGTTGACTTTAGATCTTGAATACTGTTCGATATCTTCATAAATTTTATTTCATACTTCATTGAGTTCCATTTCAATAATGTAGTTGAAAAGTCCTCGGGGAATTTGATTTCTTGGCTGAATGAATCCTTATATTTCCTAAATATTAATGCAATAAATTCCTCATTAAACAGAAGCAAGCCAAAACTTTTAAATATAAACCCAAACTTTCAAATTTGGCATCGCTTCCAGATTCACATTTAGTTAAAAAATCTCTGAATCTCCTTCTAGCTGATTATAGTCCTTAAAACCGAGGTCCCATCCAACGGTAGGCGTTTGCACGATTAAGAACCCTCATTGCCCATTGGCCCTGAGTGCCGAGTATAGGTCTAATTGTGATGCCCTGCACCGGTATATGGTGACGTCTCTATATATCTATGAGTGAAAAAACGGAACGTTAAACAACGTACAATCCATCAATGATTCTAACTGGGAATATTGAACCTACTACCGGTAGACTCCGTATACAACTGCGAGGTATTTTCAGAAAAAGAACCATAACTTCGATCAGAAAAAGTGAAAGTGGTTGGAGGTGGAGGGTGTCTTATGGGATCCTTGAGGTTATATTTTTCTCAATCACGTGAGTGTCTAGCTCAATCAGGTGACGCGCTGTAGAAAATTATAAAGTGAGGTAAAATAAATGGTTTAATCTGAGTGGAAAATACAGAATACTTGTATGTAAGAATTAGAAAATAATGAAATGTAATAACTTGAATTTCATGGCAGAAAATAGTCTGGTTTACTATATTCAAATCTCTGATACTTTGATTTACTATAGTCAAAACGTAATCATCAGTGTAAACTCTAGTTCACTATTGCATTTTTTGCAAATTTTAAAATGGTCAAACTTTTGAGAAATTCGAAAACTCAATTTATTTCAAGACTCAAAAGCGTCAAAACATTTTACTTTTCAATATTAAAGCAAAACATTTCTTTAAAAGAATTGTGTAGATCAATAATTTATCAAAACGTTACATTTCTACCCAGCGACAGAAATTATAAAGAAACGCTTAAAAGATTAGCGTATCCCTGCTAAACATATGTCTTTTATAGATAGAGCTGTGACTTGTGTCCAAAACATCTAAATACCATTGCAATAATGTCATTGTCTTCGTGAAGCATAACAATTCATTTTTATACCAGTTATGTGACGCACAGCTGAACCATGAATTAAAATAGTTACTATTTGCATCAATCTTTCAATAAGAGTTCCTATATTGTTTTACTCTTACGTTTGTTAAAGTGGATATTAGAAATGGTACATAATTTAAGGTATACAGAACACATACTCTATTGCCTTCCTAATATAGCTGATGTTTTCTTAATATGGAGGAAAGATGATGAATTTTGCCTTACCTAGCTACTTTAACAAGAAGTCAACTTTAATCAAACTCAAACCATCACTTAATGATATCGTTTTCATTTTTCTTCTGCTCCAAATTTGTATTGTTTCAATGGACGTTTATGCTAAATTGATTACTGTTTGTTACATCAATAGCGAGAACAAATTTAATATTGTTATTATTACTAACTTTCAAAATAGATATATAGAACATGTAAGGGTTGCTACACGGGTTTACAAGGCAATAGTGTTACAACACACTTAGCCAGGCACTATAATCTAGTGGTAAGGCGTTCGCTTCGTTATCGGGAGGCACGGGTTCGATTCTCGTTCGCCGCGCTGCGTCAAACCTAAGACGTAAACATACCCTAAAAAATTCTGTAGTAAACTATAATTAACTATAGCTTACTATGGTTTACTAGAGTATCAAAGTAAAATTTTTTGAACTTTGATTTACTATAGTAAAAACTTTGGAACTTTGATTTCCTATAGTGAAAGCTTTGGAACTTTGATTATCTAAAGGAATAATTTTGGAACTTTGATTTACTATAGTGAGAACTTTGGAACGTTGATTTACTATAGTGAAAAGTTTGGAACTTTGATCTACTATAGTAAAAACTTTGGAACTTTGATTTACTATAGTGAAAACTTTGGAACTTTGATTTACTATAGTAAAACCCGTGGAATAATGTTTTTGATTCCCATTCTTGACATTTTATGATATTTTATGGTCAAAATTCAAACTTCACAGAACTTTTCATTAGCCCCGAGCCCTCCCCTAAAAAATTATTGTAAAAGAAATGAATTTTGATGTAGTTTGTCTCTCGCGCCTATAGATAAACAACGCTTATTCAATTTTTTTTT